AAAGTGCTGTTACTGAAAAAAGAAAAAAAAAATCTGGGGATAAATGCATAGTTTCTTCATCTCAACCTTGCCACCATATGGAATTCTGCCCCCAGATGTTAACAAATCATTTCTTTAAAAGTGTGTAAATCGTATATCTTTAAGAATCATTTTATAAGTCATCATAATTAACAACAATAATTTTCTTGGCCTATCAACCTAAAGAGAAAAGAATTTATAATTTAAACCAGTACCTTAATATTAAATACATATTTCATAAGAATTTTGAGCCCAACGAATTCAAGAACTTTAAAAATCACAGAACCATAAATCTATTTTTATAATCTTCCAATCTAAACTCCAAACTAAAAAGTTATACACAAATCAAACTAATTGAAATTCTTTTTGTTTCAAACCCCAAACTCTACATTTCTTGCTCTTTTTCTTGCAACCAGTATTTAATATTTTCAAAACTAAAACACCAACCACTTGAAAATGCTTCACTACCTATAGAGAAACTTAGTTATGTGCTTCCATGTTTCAATAGCAATTCAGTTTTATAACTGTTAACTGAAAACCTGTGAATAAATTACTGAGGTAGTTGATTGTTTTTTTAAAGGAACTTCACAAAGAATTCTGAGCAAAGATGTCCTCTTAATAATGCATATAACATGCCAAGTGCAGTGGCTCACACTTGTAATCCCAGCACTTTGGGAGGCCGAGGCGGGTGGATCATGAGGTCAGAAGATCAAGACCATCCTAGCTAATGTGGTGAAACCCAGTCTCTGCTAAAAATACAAAAAAATTAGCCAGGCATGGCTAAAAAATTAGCCATGTGCCTGTAGTCCCAGCTACTCAGGAGGCTGAGGCAGAAGAATTGCTTGAATCTGGGAAGCAGAGGTTGCAGTGACCCAAGATAGTGCCACTGCACTCCAGCCTGGGAGACAGAGCAAGGCTCCATCTCAAAAAAAAAAAAAAAAGTTAGAATGGCGATCATTAAAAAATCTGGAGAGGATGTGGAGAAAAAGGAACACTTTTACACTGTTGGTGGGAGTGTAAATTAGTTCAACCATTGTGGAAGACAGTGTGGCGATTCCTCAAGGCCTTAGAAATAGAAATTCCATTTGACCCAGCAATCCCATTACTGGGTATATATCCAAAAGACTATAAATCGTTCTACTATAAGGACACATGTACACGAATGTTCATTGCAGCACTGTTTACAATAGCAAAGACCTGGAATCAACCAAAATGCCCATTGATAATAGACTGGATTGGAAAAATGTGGCACATATACACCATGGAATATTATGCAGCAATCAGAAATGATGAGTTTGTGTCGTTTGTAGGGACATGGATGAATCTGGAGAACGTCATCCTCAGCAAACTGACACAAGAACAGAAAATGAAACACCGCATATTCTCACTCATAGGTGGGGGATGAAAAATGAGAACACATGGACACAGAAAGGGGAGTACTAAACACTGGGGTCTATTGGGGGGAAAAGGGGAGGGCCAGTGGGAGGGGGAGGTGGGGAGGGATAGCCTGGGGAGAAATGCCAAATGTGGGTGAAGGGGAGAAGGAAAGAAAAGCACACTGCCATGTGTGTTCCTATGCAACTGTCTTGCATGCTCTGCTCGTACCCCAAAACCTAAAATCCAATAAAAAATTTAAAAAAAAAGTATATAACGTATATATTCAGGTTTTCCATAGCATCTTTTCTTAGAATAGTACATATTAGTAATGTGATAGCTATCTCTTCAAATTCCACCCAAAAGTCAGTTTTAAACAGAAAATGATTTATTTTATGACTTACTGGAAAAGTAAAACATTAAAGAAAAACTGCTAACCAATACTCCCCAGTGCTTGGTTTTTGGTCATTTTTCTATGTGACAATTAAAATTTTTTCATTCAATTTTTTCATGACAGAATTAGAATTTTTTCATGCATAGTATAAAGGCTGCAATATGTTTGCAAATTTTGATGCTCAATTCCACAGAAAGCTATGCAAGCAAGGTGGGTGTGTGGGTGTTTTGGAGATTAGACCATTTAGGTTAATATGTTTCCTTTTCTCTCCTCTCTAAAGAGAGTATATTACTAAATAAAGTACAGATGGTAGTTAAGTGCACTAGTTAAAAGCTATGAAAGTTTTGGCCAGGTAAAGTGGTGGCTCACTCCTGTAATCCCAGCACTTTGGGAGGTCAAGGTGGGCCGATAACCTGAGGGAAGGAGTTGAAGACCAGCCTGGCCAACATGGAAAACCCCATCTCTACTAAAAAATACACAAATATTAGCCAGGTGTGGTGGTTTGCGCCTGCCCCAGCTACTCAGGAGGCTGAGGCAGAAGAATCGCTTGAACCTGGGAAGCTGCCGTGGGCTGACAACACACCACTGCACTCCAGCTAGGTGACAGAGACAGATTCCATTACACACACACACACACACACACACACACACACATACACACAAAGCCATGAAAGTTAATTATTCTCCCTGAACCCATTAAGTGGTGAAAGATTAATAATATAAAGCTCAGTGCCTGCTATATAGTAACTGCTCAATAAATGTTCAGTTCTTATGACCATTCATATTAATAATTAAACACCAGTTCCTATTTCAGCTGCTTTCATTTATAACATGAGATCTTCCCCCTATTTTCCACATCTTAAAAATCATATTGGAAAACCTCCCACCTTCGAAATTTTCAAAAGACTTTTCCACTAAAATACTAATGTGACTAAATATTTAGATCTGGAGAAGTCAGTCTTTATCTGAAGGATGTGTTAATGAAATGTTCAAACATGTGAATGTTCTGAATTATATCAGTATACTGATTTATCATTTTCATTATAGATCAGCATGTAGCAAATTCATAACCCATACCTTTTTTATTATGAGGGTTTTCTAGACTGATATACACCTTTAAGACATGAGTCATACTTCCAGAGTTGGGGAAACTGATGGAAAAATGGCTAAATGATTCAGCATGCTGCAGCAAAATGAGCTGGTCATGAATTTAACATTTCTACTCTGTTAGGTGCCCTGGCCTTGGTGGCCTCTTTCATCTTGTACTGCATATATAACATATGATGCTGTAAGCAATACATTTTGTTAAACATTCCCTCGCAAAAGGCATAATGGTACTTTCCTCTCAGATGAGCTTCTAGAAACAAAATTATTCAATTCTATAAGACAACAGGTTGACAACCCTGGGCAACTCTTACAATGTCCAGTTGTAAGCTTCATCAAGCTTGGCTTATACAGATAATAGGGCTAGAGTGAATTCTGACACTGGTGCCATTTTCTTAGCTGCACAGAGATAGTGGGGGAAAGGCCTGAGGCTGAAAAAACCCAGAAGATGGTCAAACGAAGCCAGATGAGGAAATGGCTATGGTTATACCTGTGTCTCTCATGCCAACATTGACCTTTACCAAAAACATCACAATACAACAGAAGATCCTAAGCAGGTCAAGAAAACTAAATAGCAAATGCTGAATATACACTCACATAGCCTGACTTTATGGAAGATTCTCACCACCCAAAGCAAGTGAAAAACTTTTTCTTTTCTAAGTGTCTCTGTTTATCCTTCAATGACAAACAATTTTACGTTAAAGTATTTCAGAAATATATAGATTTCAGACTAGAATAAAGCATTTTCCATCAAATAACCAATTATGAAAATGATATTATGAATTAAATGTTTTAATATAAAATTGCACCATATCAGATGCTGGGGAAGTACATCCATTTTGTGACCACAGCATAGTCATCTCACCCAGCATTTTCTGAGAATGGGACAAAGTATGCCAGGATGTGTAAAATGACACTACCATATCTGTGAAGTCCAATTTCCTCATTCAATACCTTCAATTATTTCAGTTTGGTATGTAACATATCACAGACACACACACACCCATACTCACAAATGAAACCTCAAGAGCAACACTGAAAAAGATGATACTATCTTAGAACTATCTGAAATGTATTTAGGAAAGAACTAGGGTGACAAGTTTGACCTTCTATAAATCCATCTTTTTTTATTTTTGACTGTGCAACCTCTAATTTCCTCTAAATTGGAGAGGGGAGGGTGGGTGGAGAAAAAAAAAGGTGAAAAACATCTAATTCAGAGTGTACAATCTCCCTCTATATATATACACGTATGTGTGTGTGTCTGTATTTTTTTTCCCCCTCCACCAAGACTTTGGAGGTCAGTAAGAGGAAAAAATGGCTCATAAGACAAGGTTTCAGGGCTAACCCAAGGGAACACCTCAACAGTTGGAGAATTTCAGCTCAGGGGCAACCTGACTGGGGGTATCAGAGGCTGCAGCATTATCAACCAAGAGCACAGGCCGCACCATCAGCATCCCGGGCGCCTCTGCCGTGCGCATGTCCCTCTTATATAAAGAGATGCTTACAGTCCAGGTGCTTTTTCTTGGGGCCCATCACTTCATGAGTAGTGGCTTTGCAGACCGCTCTCGCTACAGCAGAGCCTGTCACGCTGTACTGCGCGGCTGCGATCCGATCTGTGAGCGTTTGGCCCGACATCTTCTCTGGTCGCTTCTACCGCCTCCTTTTCTGCTGGAAACAAGGGAAGACGGTCCCGCTTTAATCTGCAGACCCTACCCTCCAACACCCAGGCCCTACCTCCTCCAGCCGCACGGCGGCTCTCTCCGCCTCCATTCCCACCCTGGCACCACCTCTAGGAGCCAGCAACGCGCCAAAGCCCCGCTCCTGCGATGCGGTCCAGGGAGTCTTGGCCGTGAGTAGAGCCGTCACGGAACCCCAGCGTGGGCTCCAGTCACAGCATCGTGACACAGTCCCCATTCTTCCCCGGTCTCCCCGTAAGGTCAGATTCGCCCCCTCGGTACCCTCCTGTCAATCAGCACTTTCCTTGCAACCTGATCTGCGGTGCCAGGCTAGCCACGACGTGTGTCGGGGTTATTCTCTGGATGCTGCACCCACCGGTGCCAACCTCCCACCTCCGCAGACTTTCCTCCCAGCAGCCAGTAGGCTTCGGGGAATGCATCAAATAAATACCCAAGCCCTGGCCTCCTTCCTCCTCCTCCTTGCGCTGCTGCAGCAAAGGGCTCGTCCTCCCTCAGTCGCGAAGGAGATTATCCTAGCGTTGCGCCATGTTATGCCCTCGCCTCCCCTTTCTTCCTTGCCGCAGCCTCCAAAGACTCGCCGAGGCCCATCGCCCGGGCTCCTTCTCCCCGGTCTCCAAATCCCTGCCGCAGGGGCCGCCCAGGAGCTCTGAGGAGGCACCGGGGTCTCGGGGCGCCTCACCCTTCCTGGCTTTGGAGCAGAGCCGGACTGACAGCACAGCCCAGCCCCCGCCCGCTCTGTAGCGCGACACGGAGCTGTCACCCGGCCGCTGCCCTTCTCTGCACCCTGGGATTATCCTCTGTGGATCCCTGCGCGGCCCTGGCGCGGGTAGGGGGGCCGAGTCCGGCCGCGGGTACTTACCCCGCCCCTGAGCGGCGCCGCCCGCCGCAGGATGAGCAAAACCCGGGCGGCTGAGGGAAGCCGCGCTGGTAGGTGTGTGCGAGCGCTTGCAGACCCGGTGCCCCGGGCGCAATGTCTCCAGCCCTGGCCGGGCCCGGCTCCTCAGCTCCGCGGTCCCGGCGCCCGCCGCCGTGGCCGCAGAAGCCAGTACCCGCCCGCCGCCGCCTCTTCTGCCAGCGCCGCGGCGTCTCTCTAGCGCTCCAAGCTGCGTCCCCATCCCCGCCCCCACCTCAGCTGTGGTTCCTCCGACGAGTCAGGTGACGGCGGCGGACAAACCCGGACGAGCCCTCCCGGAGCGCCCCGCGGCCCCCTCCCAGCTACTCACACACACAGCCCCCCGGGGCCGCGAGCTTAAAGGCGAGGGGGCGCCGCACGCAAGCATCCCCGGCAAGTCGGAGGGGAGAAGAAGGAGGCGGAGAGGAGGGGAGGCCGACACCCACCCAGTCAGCCGCCCTCCGCCTGCGCCCGGCCGCCCCTACGCCGCTGGCTCCGCACTCCGCACGCACTGGGAGCGCGCACCCGGCACACCTGTCCGTCGACTGCGGGGGGCGCCCTGGGCGGCGGGGGCGTTGGCCAGACCGGGCAAGTGGGCTTCTCGGGTTCTACTCAGTGAAGGCCAAGGCAAGGGCGTCGTCGCGCGCTGCCTGGCGAAGCCCAGCCCCTTCTCCCCCACACTGTCGCTGACACGCCCGCCTGCCAAAGGCGACCGAGGCTCAGACGAACAGGGCGATTTTTAAATGTCAGATCCTACCTGCCAGCCGCGACCGTTACCTGTGCGTCCTTAGTTCCTCGGGCTCCTCCGCTTGTCTCAGTTACCTGGGATTCCGGGTGGGCAGGTAATTCTAGCCCCTTTAGTCTAAACGGATACTGAGGTCTACCGCAGGGAGAATAATTAACAAAGCCATTAATCAAGTCCCAGATTACCTTCGACAGTAATCATTTGAGTGCATAACGAAACATCTTTGTACCCTTAAAAAGTAATTTCTGCCATTTAAATATAGTGTTGGAACTTCCGTCAATTGAATGTCAAGTGTATATTTGACTAGTACGCAGTAATTTCTGAACAGGGATGTGGACTTGGTTAATAGCGTAACGTGTTGACATTTTCAAACGTTGTTATTTATGTTCACCTTTTTTGTTTTTCAAATTCAGTAGCATGAAGATCAAAACTATATTTGTGAACTTTCCTGACTTTCTTTTCCCTGGCTTCTGGTGGCTTCTGTTCGGCCTTGAAGCCATATGTTTACCTGTCCATCTCAAGGTTTTGTTATATATTCCTCTCTTTCACCTGGTACAGTGTTCAGTATGCAGTCATGATTTCGTAACTATTGGGACTGATTCTAGCATTAATTGGAAGCTTGATGACCAAAGAAAGACAGCTTAAGGGCAACATTGTCTCAGATACGAGTCTTACCATGTTTACAAGGGAAATAAAACCACAATTTTATTCAAAAACTTGTACTCCAAATTTATAGCAGCTTAACATAATGGCCCCAAACTGGATGAAAGGCAAATGTTATTCTATCAGTAAATGAATAAACAAAATGTGGTATATCTATATAATGGAATACTACTTAGCAATAACAAGAAACAAACTAATACCATTCATGAACCTCAAATGCATTAGAAGAAAAAGAAGCCCAATCCAAAATTCTACTTATTATTTTGATTTCATTTATGTGACATTCCGGGAAAGTTGAAACCATAGAAACAGAAAACATATCAGGTGCCAGTGACTGTGGCATTGGGGGAGGGGACTGACTGCAAAGGGGTAGAAGAGAACTTTTAGCAGAGATGGAAATGTTTTATATCATGACGGTGATGGTGATTCTACAACTGCATGTATTTCTCAAAACTCATCAATTTGTGCACTTAAAATTGGCTAATTTTGTTGTATATAAATTATACCTCAATATAATCGGATAAAAAGAATTGGAGTGGCAATATTAATATCAAAGTAGGTTTTACAATAAGGAATATTAATAGCAATAAAGAGGCACATTTCATAATGAAAAATTTATCAAGACCATGTAACAATTCTACGTGTTTACATATCTAAGAACAGAGCTTTAAAATAGGATGAAGCAAAACCTAATAGTATTAAAAGGAGAAACAGGCAAATCCATAATTATACTTGAAGATTTCAGCACTTTTCTCTATGTAATAAATAGGACAAGTAGGCAAGAAACCTGTATGAGTATAGATTACTTGAAATAGCCCTGTAGACCAATTTGACCTAATTGACATTTATAAAATAGTCTACCCAACAATAGTGAAATTCTTCTTTCAAGTGTGCAAAGAGCATTCACCAGGATTGACCATATATTGACTGAGACTAAGCCATAAGGCTAGTCTCAATAAATTTAAAAGGATTACAATCATACCCATTATGTTCTCTTACCACAGTGGAATTTAACTAAAAATCAGTAACAGATAGATATATGGAAATCTCTAAATATTTGATAATTAAACAACATATTCTAAATAACCATGGGTTCAATTTTCTCATAAGGAAAATTGGAAATTTATTTAAACTAAATAATAATGAAAATGCAACATATCAAAATTTGTGGGTTACAGGCAAAGTGGTGATTACAGGCAAATTTATAGCATTAAAATGGTTAGGAATAAAGAAAGGTCTAAAAATAACTAAGTTTCAACTTTAAGACACTAGAAAAAGAACAAATTAAACTGAACATGAGCAGAAAGACGGAATAAAGATAAGAGTACAAATCAATGAAAGAGAAATGACAAATAATAGATAAAGTCAATTAAACCAAAAGCCACTCTTTGGAAAAGATTACAAAACTGATAACCCCCCTAGCCAGACACAACGGAAAAAATGGCACAAATTTTCAATGTTAGGAGTGAAAGGGGAAATCGATTCTATGGACATTAAAAAATAAGAGAATGTTATAAACAACATTGTGTAATAAGTTGGACAATTTACATAAAATGAGGAAATAGTATAAAATAATGGTTCTCCAACAGTCCAGTAATGATGTCATGTTACATATATTGCTATAAGTTAAGAGGTTTTGAACACATAATGTGTTTCCAATAATAATTAAAATAATACAATCTGTGATTTATTTTTCAAAGTAGATTGGAGTGGGTTCAAAGCCAATCCTATAATATTCTGAAATTACATACAATACACTGGGAAGTATTTGAAGCCAGAACTTATTCTTGATACACTACTCCTGTCTCTGGTACTATGCATGGGAGAATATCCCACACATAAACATTCTGCCATAGTGTTAGCAGAATGTTTGAAAATCCCTCAACTATAGAAGTATATACAAATCAATAAATAATGTCAAGAATGGAACCAATATATGAAATATTGGTTGTTTGGGAAGATCTTACTGAGCTTTGAGAATAGTAGAATATTTTTGTGGCAAAGCTTTGGAGATGCTGGCTTCTTACAGCCGGAAATATCTAGAATTACATCCATAAATGTTATACACTAAAGTGAAAGAAAGAAAATAGGCTTCAGGAAAGAATATATTGACATAAAAATTGACTTGTTAATTTTTTGAAAGCACAGACACATAATAAATGATATTCAATAAATCTTAGGCAAGAATAAGAATTGGCATTTAATATTTTAAGTTGAAAGATCTTTTGATCTCAGTGGTCAGAAAATAGGGTAATTATAATAAACATCCCAAATTGCTTTTTAAAAATACATATTGAGGCTGGGTGTGGTAGCTCACCCCTGTAATCCTAGCAGTTTGGGAGGCTGAGGCCAGCAGATCACTTGAGGTCAGCAGTTTGAGACCAGCCTGGCCAACATGGTGGAACTTCATCTCTACTAAAAATACAAAAAATTAGCCCGTCATTGTGGTGCATGCCTGTAGTCCCAGCTACCGGGGAGGCTGATGCCCAAGAATCGTTTGAACATGGGAGGTTGCAGTGAACTGAGATCATGCCTCTGCACTTCAGCCTGGGCTACAGACTGAGACTCCATTTAAAAAAAATTCATATTGAATTTTTTTTCTGAGTCAATATAAATATATGCTACTAGACAGATTTTTCTGAGTCTCTGATTATTTATTTATTTATTTATTTTACTTTTTGTATAGACAGGGTCTGATTATATTGACCAGGCTGATCTTGAACTCCTGGCCTCAAGTGATACTCCTGCCTTGACCTCCCAAAGCACTGGGATTACAGGTGTGATTCACCATACCCAGCTAAGTCTTTGATTTAATACACATGTTTTCTTCTGAGTATCAGATTTAATATAGAAAAATCAAGCCAACAATAATTACACTTAGACCAACAATTTATTTCAGCACACATGAGGGAAAGTATTGTCAAGTTCTTGGTTTCAGTTTATTTGCAAGATACAACAAGAGACATATACAAGAGACAGAGAGAAATAAAGCTGAAGATAATTTGATTGCCTCAGATAACAACCTGAGGTGAAATTAGCAAATTTATATATTTCTCCTAAATCTATAATATCATTCTCAAGATAAAACTATAGGGTGAATTTCATTCCAGGAATGCTTTTCTGTCAAAGTAGAAAAAACATATTGGTACAAGAATAACCACACTTGTATATATCCACTCCTACACACAAATGTGATATCTCCACCCAAACTCAAAAGCAATTGACAACAAAAAGCAAATTTTGGTATTCTGAATGCACTTTAGCAGAGACAAAAATCTTGCTTCTCTTTTATGAGACAACAAATAAAAAAAAGACCATAAAACTGATGAACTCTCTAGTATAACAAAAAAAATTGTAGGTTGCACAAAATATCAGTAAGATTTAGATTCAAACAACTTGATCATCTAAGGGAAATATAACATTCATCCATGAAACCATTCAAGTTACTTTAAAATTACAGTTAATGAAGTATATTCCAAGCCAGAACAAACTTGTTTACTAAGGTTTGTTTTGCCTATAATTCTGGTTAGAAATGAATTCATCATGGTAACTGATATGATAAAAGGAACATGTATATTTTACATGCCGAATGGCATAAAAACAGTTTAAGTATGTCATTTTCATTTGCTTCCCTGTTTTAAATCTATTGTTTATTGTTGTATAATGAACTTTGTGGCATACAACAGCAAGTTTTTATTCTTTCTCACAATTTTGTGAGTTAACAGGGCTCTGCTGGGTAGTTCCCCTTTGAAGTCTTTTATGTAGTTGCAATTAGGTGACAGCTGGTCTGTAGTCATTGGAATTCTTCACTGGGCTACCCAAGATGGCTTATGCACTTTGACATCTGGCAGATAAAACTGTTTTTTTAAAATTATTATTATACTTTAAGTTCTGGGGTACATGTGCAGATTGTGCAGGTTTGTTACATATGTATACATGTGCCATTGTAGTAGTTTGCTGAATTTATCGCCCCATCATCTACGTTAGGTATTTCTCCTAATGCTGTCCCTCCCCAATCCCCCCACCCCCTGCTATTCCTTCTCTAGCCCCCCACCCCCCAGGCCCCAGTGTGTGATATCCCCCACCACCATGTCCATGTGTTCTCATTGTTCAACACCCACTTATGCATGAGAACATGCGGTGTTTGGTTTTCTGTTCTTGTGTCAGTTTGCTGAAAATGAAGGTTTCCAAAACTGGCTGTTTAAATGAGAGCTTGGCTGGGGTTTTGACCAGAGCACCTGCACAGGGCATCTCTGTGTGTCTGTGTCTGGGCTACTCACACAGAGTGGTTCAGGGTAATCACATTTCTTACACAGTGGCTGGCTTCCAAGAGGGAACATTCCAAGTTGGAATGTTCTAAGAAACATAGGTGGAAGCTGTAAGGTTTCTAATGACCTAATCACCAAGCATCAGTCTGTTGTGTTCTGTTGATCA